GTCAACCCTGAGCCGGTGAGATTTGAACCGCTGACCTGCTGATCTAGCAGTAGCCTGCAGTGCTGCATTTAACCACTGCGCCACCTTGGCTCCTGGTTAATCCCAGATTATAACAGCTGAAGCATTCTGATATTAGTGAGGCAAATAAAGAAGGTAGAATAAGAATTTCCAGTTCCAGAATAAGAAGTTCAAGAAGAGAGCTGAGAATGACAATAAAGGTTGGGAAGATGCCATCAAGGTTATCATCGCTTGATACGTCATTGTGTGAAGTGTTAATACCACTTTAGGATGCGCTGGTAAGACCACACTTGGAATTGTTGTAATCCACCAGCAGCCTGCAGAGCTCGCAGCGGTATCGGACAGCGAGGAGGTTGCGGAGGAACATGGGCCAGTCCTGGAGTCTGGGAAAGCCTCAGGCGAGGGCTCTGCATCAGAGGCAGAGAGGGAGCCAGGGCCATCTGGGAGTTATGTGCTGCCTTTGCAGGAAGCAACTTGGTTCATGCTGGTCAGTTTACCTTCTGAATCTCCATTTGGACTCTTTGCTCCCTGTGGCCTTGCCAAGCTAATTGCCAATTGAGTCTTTGGCAGCATTTTCAAAGAAGATAAAGATTGGGTGCTTATCAGCCTTATCCCGAAGGACTTTGGCAGCCTGCTGTAGAACTCTTTACTATTATTTGGAACTCATTACAGGCTGTGAATGAATATAATTCACAGCCTTCGAAATAGAAGCGGGTTTTTGGACTTAATCATGCGTGTTTTATTGCATCGGGAAGCCTAGGTCAGAACAGGAATGCAGTTTTGGTCTCCATAAATATAAAAAAGATGTTGAGACTCTGGAAAGAGTGCAGAGAAGAGCAACAAAGGTGATTAAGGACTGGAGGCTAGAACAGATAATGAAGGATTTCAGGAACTGGGTAAGTCCATTCTAGTGAAAAGAAGGATTAGGGGTGACATGATAGCAGTGTTCCAATATTTGAAGGGCTGCCACAAAGAAGAGGGAGTCAAGCTATTCTCCAAAGCACCCAAGGGTAGGAAAAGAAGCAATGGATGGAAACTAATCAAGGAAAGAACCAACCTAGAACTAAGGAGAAATTTCCTGACAGTTAGAACAATTTATTAGTGGAACAACTTACCTCCAGAGGTTGTGAATGCTCCAACACTGGAAGTTTTTAAGAAGATGTTGAATAACCATTTATCTGAAATGGTATAGGGTTTCCTGCTTGGTCTAGAAGACCTCCAAGATCCCTTCCAGCTCTGTTATTCTGTTATTTTGTTATATTTATCAACTGGACAATGTGACCTCTAGTATGTTCTCCATTCTCCCATAGAGCATCGTAGCAGACGATGCTGATAATATGCTTTTTTAAAAGACTCGGAAATAGTTTGATCTATTCATATTCCCATTGTCAAATGGAGAGCCATTATTATGAAGCTCGATCTGGAACATCTTCTCTACCTTCTGAGGGAGAAGGCAGCTTTGATATGCCCACTGAATTCAATAGCTATAAAGGCAAAGCGAGGGTGTTATGAAACATCTTTTTTTTTTGCTTCTCAAATAATGAATAGCTGCTCCAGTTTTACCCTGACATTCCTGCCTTCTTAATAGATCCTGTTATAACTTCTTTTGATTTTGGTAGAAGTGTTAAAATGCTGCCATTTGTTAGTCTTGTTTTTGTGTTGTAACAAAAAAAAAAGGCAGCACAGATTTCTGCTAAGAAATGTTGGAGGAACAATTGTTTCCTCTCAACCTTCCCCCACCCACCCCTGGCAATCAAGGGAGAAAAAATGATCTCAAACTTCCTATTAGATGCATGCTCATTTTGACATAGCTTTGATGTCAAGGTTCGTGTCTGTGTGGGTGGGAATTCTTCACTTCACATTGGGGCTGAAAGATTTCACTGTAAGAAGCTTCTTTCTGATTCTATTTTCAGAACTAACTTTCTTGCCCATGTTAAATTTCAAGAAAGTTAGGAAAAACTAAAGTCAATGGCAACTACCACTTGGATTTTGCTTTGACAACCAGGAGAAATCTAAATAACAATTAAAAAGTGGCCATAATTAGCCAGGTATGAACTTGGTGTGGCCTGGTGTGTGAACAACCAAGAAAATTATAACGCTATAACCAGGGGTGGGATTCAAAAATTTTAGCAACCAGTTCTCTGCCTGGCTGCTGGGTGGGTGGGGCTTACTTGTCATCCTGCACCATGGCAGGGGGAGTTTTTGCCCTCCTTAGGCTTTCCTTGAGCCTCCGGGAGGATGAAAATTGCCTCCCCAAGGCTATGGAAGCTGTATGGAGGCAGGAAACAGGGTTATTTCCAGACTTCTGGAACTTCTGGTAGGTCCGTTTTTCACCCTCCCCAGGCTCCAGTGCTTTCCTCGAGTGTCCAGGAGGGCAACACCAGCCTCCCCCGGACTCTGGAGGCACTCTGGAGGCCCTCCGGAGGCCAGAAATGGACCCGTTTCCAGACCTCCAGAACTTCTGGCAAGCCCGTTATTCACCCTCCCGGAGTCTACGTGCGGGCCCTGCACTTACTTGGCATCCAAAAAGGGGCAGTGTGGAAACTCCTGGTAGGGGGTAGGGTGGTGTGGGCGGGTCAGCCAGTCCTTGCAACTACCGGTTTGGCAAACCAGATTAAAATTAACATCCAGTTGACCCGTACCAGTCCGAACCGGCTGAATCCCACCCCTGTCTAAAACCAAGGACTAGCAAATTGAAAGACCATATGACAAGAAAGCAATGGTGAACCAATTCCACATTGTACCAAAGAAAAAGATATGGATGGACTATAGGTAGACCTCAACTTACAACAGTTCATTTAGTGACTGTTTAAAGTTACAACGGCAGTGAAAAAAGTAATTATTTTTCATTCTTATGACCGTTGAAGCATCCCTGTGGTCAAAATTCAGATGCTTGCCACCTGGTTCACATTTATGACGGTTGTAGTGTCCCGGGGTCATGTGATCACCTTTTTCTTTGGT